ATAAACAGGGAGACAACTCTCTGCACACACACACACGTTCAGGAGAGCAGCTCCTCCCACATACTCTTCATTTGACAGCACAGGGATAAAAGTTCACATTTTTCCATAACGAGCCGGCGGTATCAGCTGGTGGAAAAGTCTGCAGAGAGTTCAGTCTTCATAAACGCCAGATCAGATTTCAGAAGCGAGGGATTTTTCAGAGAGCGCTGACTTGACAAAAAGACTCTGAGGAAGCAGGAGAGCTGGAGATAAAGTGGAAGAGGAGAAGCGATGGTCACCTGTGTAAATGTAAATGGATGTGCTGCTGCAGTCTGCTTGGCTGAAAATGAAGTTCCTTAAATAGCCACTAGAGGCTGTCTCCTGCAGTGAGTCAATCCCCATAGAGTCCTATGATAAGACACTAAACTTTACAGCAGAACTAAACATGTTTACAGCCTGGTACAAAAAAATGGTTTGGGTACACTGAAGCTTAAAGTGATGTAGATTTAGGGGGCGTGGCCTCTTTGAGTGATAGGTGGGAGCTGCTAGGTGTCACCTCAGCTAATTCAATCACTGACCTTTAATCTCTGGGCCGTGTTTGTGCTCATTAAGATGCAAAGTTTTCTTTAGTCTCTTACAAAACTGTGTCCACATTGCTGATTGAAAATAAACAACACTTGGCGCATCTATTTCACACGACGGGTAAGTTGGAGCGGAATGAATCCATCTAAGATAGCAGATTACCCCAAGTCTGGTGCTTCGGACCTCAATATGTTGTTGCCGTGGGATCAGAAAAGATATTGTTCTCGTTTGATTTTAAATTTCTGGTGACAACTCTAGTTCAGTGCAGATGGTAAAGCTTTGATAACTTGCCGTTTGCAGACCCCCCCCCCCCCCCCCCCCCCCCCCGCCCTTCTCTCTCCAGCTTCCCCGTCTTGTCCAAATATGGTCACTTCTGGCTCCAAAACAAAAGCACGGCTAAAATCTGCCAAAATGCAGAACTCCTGGTCCTGCTAACACTAAAGGCTCCCCTGCAGAACAATGCGGTCTACGGGCTGCTAATTTGCAGTGCTGAGTTGTAGCAGAGACTGGCAGTCTAGGTCATCTCCCATGGTCACCTGCACTCAAATCCAAACCCTTTTCAAAAGCAGAACAACGAGCCAGGCTTCTCTAAACATAAAGAATATCTCCACGTCCCGCACTAGCGAACAGAACGGGCTGCCAAAGTCTCCTGTGGGACTTCTTTTTTGCCTTTAGAGTCGATGCTGATGGTGGTGAACCTTCACTGACTTAACAAGCCTGTATGCTAAAGGTGCAAGAAGACAGCGTTGTACCAGCAAGCAAACACTACAAACCTCCCCCAAGCAGCTCAGAGGCACCCAGACCTCTCCAAGGGGGACAAAACATGACAGCTTAGCATATAAGCTAGTTGCAGCGTTTCAATATCAGACCAGCATATTAGAACATGCATTATCGAGTATCGAACCAGTATTGATTCAGTATCGAGTAACGATGCTAAACGTGGTATTTGTGTTGAAGTCAAGACTTTGGCATCGTGATTAACTTTTTGTATTCACACTAGAATGACACCGGTTCTATTTTGGTGGTGTAGAAGAGACTTTCTGCACGCTGAGTTTGTCAGGATGTTGTTTGATCTCCATGGTGATATGAAAGTTATCGTAAGGTTTGCATTTTTAAGAGTGATAGAGGAGCAATCAAACCAGCTCTATTCACATTCATTCGCTCCACCGCCAAACAAAACAGGAACACGGAGGTATGAAGAGTGCGTGTGGAGGTCACCAGTGGAAGGTGAAAAATGAGAGATGAGAGTGTGGACAGATCGAACGTTCTCCTGAGGATTACGGGGTAAAATCTTGATGTAAAAATCTCATCATCCACGCTGCGTGCTTTACACTGCTGAGTGAGTCTGTGCTGATATGAAGCGATGCTGATCATAAAGAAGAAGACCTGAGGGATGGAGCGAGCGAGCACAGGGGCTCTGCTGCTTCCAGGTGCTTCCAGGAATAGCCGATACGCTAATGGGGCTGGCCGGCAAAGTGGCCCGTAATGCCTGTTGATGGAAAACACAGCCGGCCAATTACAGAGCTCATATCTAATCACAGGGGTCAGGGTCAACTCCCATCCACCATCCGTCTTCATTTGGCTGTTGCCTCATCACTGGAGGGGGAGTATCGATAGATTTCAGTGTACAGTGTGTTTGGGAAGCCTGACACACACGCAGACGTTATGTACACAGAAAAATAGTGATGTCATGAAGTTGACATTCAGAGTACAGCTCTCCCACATGTACACACACACACACACACACACACACACACGCACAATGTAATAAAGAGAAGCTGGAAGGACAGATCTGCACAGACAGCAGCTTAAAGAAGGAAGATTACACTCCTGAAGACTCTCAACCTTCTTCTTCTGTCTCCCCTCGGTGGACAGAGGAGCATCTGTTTGTCATGACGCCACCTTCAGACTGTGTGTGTGTGTGTGTGTGTGTGTGTGTGTGTGTGTGTGTGTGTGTGTGTGTGTGTGTGTGTGTGTGTGTGTGTGTGTGTGTGTGTGTGTGTGTGTGTGTGTGTGTGTTGGTGCAGCTTGTCCAGTTTAATAAATCTAAGACTGTAAGGCAAACAGGAAGGACATCCAAGCTGCATAATCACACAACCAATAATCTCAAACATCTAAAGGGGTCAGCAAAATACGAGGATTTTCTTTGCTCACAGACTAAAATCCAACCCGGCCCCTCTGATCTAACTCTGCGTGTGGCCAAAAGACCTTCACTTGATGACCTCAGTCCGGAAAGCGGGCCTTCAGTTACCTGTGGGCCTTCTCTCTGGAACAAGCTACCTGCTGACCTCAGGTCAATCGCAAATTCACTTTTCAACACCGGAGGTTGCAGCTTATTTTAAACGCAAAATACTGAACATTTCTAAAAAAAAAAAAAAGATTACAGGCAGAAATTCCATTGGAATCTTCCTGACGCACCTCGTAGCTGCAGACGATCCCCATCGGACGGGTGGGGTGGTGGCGGGTCCAGGAGGCAAGACATGACGGAATTAGAACAACGCAGAGATGGCCGACAGAGCAGCAGCGTCTGATGCTATGATTAAAATGTTTCCCTTTATGTTAGTTGCAACCTGCGACATATTCACCGCATCAATAAAAGAGCAGAAGAGAACTGGAAACACAATGCAGAGGCCATATGACATGCATGGAGCTGCACGTGTCACAGCGTGCTGGTCATGGTTTGCACTCGCTCCGGGTAACATTTCCAGAATATTTCCTGGCTGAATGCACACGTCCGCTCGCCGCGACTTTGAAACATTTTACAAAAAGGGACTTGCAAGAAAAATGTATCTGCCTGCGTTCACGCTTATTCACAAAACTCCTGAAAATGTGTCGACATATTTAAAGCAAGCTACTTTACTTCTATTACAACGGACACTTTTGATTGGCGTTGCCAGACAGCTGATCGTATTCAGCCAAATTCTGTAAAAATTAAATTAAATTAAAAAAAATGCCCAAAATATATAATCAATACTTTGTCTGTAATCTCATTCTCACCAGCAAACAAATCTTAAGAGCACATCAAATAACTCCTTTAACAGTAAACAGCAGCATCCAACAATCACGGCATACTGAGCAGTGGAGCATGTGGTACATTGTGAAAGATTAGTGGATTACACTCTGCATGTGTAATGTGTGAGTCTGTGTGTGTGTGTGTAATGTGTGAGTGAGTTAGTATCCAGCATAATAGAGAGAGGTTGGGGGGGGGGGTATGTGTGCAGCTGACGGAGCTCCAGCTGTGGTGTGCTTTGAGGCAGAAGTGAGCGGAGGTGTGAACGCACAGCCAGGTGCTGCCCCCGTCTCACCCTAACACCCTCGCTCAGTCCACTTCCGCCCCCGTTAATTAGGAGAACCTGTCGGGGGAGGGGTGGGGGGGAGGGGGTGGGAGGGTGTATGAGGGGATGGAGGAACATATAGGAGGCCTATAGGTCTTGTACCCTGATCCATCCAGAGTGGGTCCAGATGTGATTGAAGAGGACTGAAGTTCACATCCGACACCTGAGCGGCCTCTTTGTATAAAATCTACGGCTCACATTTGGAATCATCTCAGGGGAATCTTTGACTCTAAGCCTCAGACCCCTCTTTGCCCTGTGATTTTTTTTTTTCAGGACCGGACATTTGAAATCTTTACTGAACAAACATCTTGTTGTTGCATCACATTTTGAAAGTGAACGCATTAAACATGGAAGTCACTGGACGGTCACTCAAATCGGTGAAACGTGTCACATTGATTGGCGATGGCACAGCTGAAGATAGATAGGAAATGTTCAGAGTAGAGCGTGTGGGGGTAGACATGCTCAACGGGTCGTGAACCGGGGTTCGAACCTCTGCATATGACGCTCTTTTTTCTACTGACCGGATGACTCACCATTTAATCTCGTTCTCGAGTCCAGAAAATGTTCAATAAAAATGTTACAATTAGTCCAGCTATATTGCCAGCTCTCAGTTTTACCATTCTCTTTATTATAGATAGGACAGCTGAATAGAGACAGGAAACATCGGGAGGAGAGAAAACGGGGGTGGGAGGTGGGATTCAAACCACGGCTGCTGGGATGAGGGCTATAGCCTCTGTACGCGGGGCGCGCAACATAACCGCTACCTAGGCTGTCGGCGCCACAACAACATTGTTTTCTTGGCGTCCAAACAGCCATGAAATGAATTTAAACAAGGGCGAACAAACAAACACTGAACAACAGCCGACATTCACCTTCAAAAAGTTTCCCACAAAGCCCCCCTTCAGGCTGCAACCAGCTCCTTCTGAGATCTCTGACCCAAGAATGCATCTTTGTTGATTTAAACACCAACCCAAAAGGTCTCAATCTGAAGTCTGTGTACATCTAGTACATCATAGCCATTTCAAATACTCGAGACTCGCAGAGACAAAGAGAGAGAGAGCACATAAATCAGGACGTTTTGAAGAAGTGGGAAAGGTCACTCACCCTCGCACTGCTTGCCATCTCCTTTGTATCCCGGCTTGCAGATGCAGTTGTAGGACTTGGGCGTGTTCTGGCACAGGGCGTCGATGTGGCAGTCGTCCGAACCCTCGGCGCACTCATCTGCATCTGCTGGAAACATCACAAATCAATACACAATTAGACGGGAGTCCCCATGGAGGTGTTGGGTACATTCTCACATGCTGGATCAGATTCAGCGACCTCACTCATCTCATTCCTCTCCGTTTATGTACCACAGCGAAGACTGCCCTGGTTACCCACATTCATCATTCCAGTGACCTCTCTGCACTCATTTTTTTTACATTTGGAAAACTAAAAAAAGGAATGATGCCGGATTGGCACTTAAAAGACACATACTCCTCCTCCTGGTTAGAGCGTGCAGCAGGAGGAGCATTCCATAAAGGAGGATGCGTGTGTTTAATATCACAACATGTAGAGGGGCGTGCACGCTCCACTGCTCATAACAAGACTCCTCTCAAAGTGAACAATGTGCTCTTGTGTTTTGCACGTGTGAGGGAGATCTCAAATCCGAGATGATTACTCATGTCTAAGATGAGGGTCTTTTAACCACAAATCAAAAGACGGATGTGGATTTTGAAAGATGTGGGAGATTGATGATAGGTGGGAAAGTATTCAAACGCCTTCTCTTAACTGGGCAGGTTGTTTTTCAAATCAGGCGACATCACTTCATTAAAGAATAATGTCTCCTTTACAAGACATTGAGGATCGAAATTCTCATTTTCACTTTGGTGTTTTTCTGCACCAATGCGGCCTCCTGAAAAACTTTTTTTTTTTTTTTTTTTTTTTTTTTTCGATGCAGACCCTCTGTCTTTATCCGGAGTTTTTACTGCCAGCCACCTAGAACTTCCCCTAGTGAGCCGATGTGTGAACGCAGCAGGATATAATCAGGAGAATTCATAGACTGTCTACACGCGACTGCTGCGATCTCTGTGCACTGTAATTTAAAACTTCCACTTGGTAGCATCACAACGAAAACTAGTGTGTGAGCCAGCTGGCTACAACAAGAAGCCAAAACTCCAAATGATCCGTTCAGCATTTTTCACAAACGCACTCCTTAACATTTCTAGATTCCGGGACAGATTGTCCCTGAAATCTTTCAGGTTTGCATATTCGCACATGTTGACTTTCGGGGGAAGGTTCTGGGGGTCAGGATGTGAGATGAAAAGTGCTGCTAATACCCTCTCTGATGTGCATGCAAAGGTGCCTGGTTGAGCTTTTAAAAGTCAACGTCACCCCTCGACATTGTGTTGAATGTTTGAGATAAATGACAGGCTGTCAGAGGAGCTCTATGAAGTTGTTCGGTCTACAGCCGGACGACATGCAGAGAACAGCTCCTCTATTGATCAGGTTATTGATAGAGGAGCCGCTCACACCTGGGCCTAAATCTCAGGGCAGGGGGCCAACTCATTACACTCACACACACACACACACACAGATGAGGGGGGGGGGGGGGGACCCAAAGACAGACACAGAGATGTTTTGGTTCTCTCCTGTTTTCTGGCATTTCTAACGTTCAGCAGACCTTTACATCACCACAGAGCCCGCTCTGCTCGTCCTCTGCTCCCATCACAGTATAAATAGCCTGAGTGAGTGTGTGCGTGTGCGTGTGTGTGTGTGTGTGTGTGTGTGTGTGTGTGTGTGTGTGTGTGTGTGTGTGTGTGTGTGTGTGTGTGTGTGTGTGTGTGTGTGTGTGTGTGTTATCAGTGTGTGTACTGTGTGTGTGAGTTTAAGTCAGGCAGCCCGGCGGGAAGCTGCCTGTGGTTGAGCCCCTGCTCTCTGTCTGGCCCTCCGCCCGGCTCAGCCCTATAAAAGGCAATAAATAAACGATAAAACGGAATTTACAATAAATATTTTTCCTGTTTAAAAAAAAAAAAAAAAAAAAAAAAAAAAGTCTGCGAGTGTTTTATTGGAGCTGAAGTGAAAACAGAGAAGCAACAAGTTAAGAGTCTTGAAAAGCTGCCGGACTCAAATGTTTCGCCCTAGTTTGCTCCTATTTTCAGTGTGCTCCTGGTGTTTTAACAAAGCCTCCTCTGCATGGTGGCTCACTGTCTCAATATTGACTCCTCACCCATTCTCAGGGGTGGGAGGCTGAACAATGTGCTGCTGCTGCTGCTGCTGCTGCTTCACGGTCGATATTGGGCCCCTGCTGCCTTCCTGCCCGCTCCTCCTGGGACTTTGACGGCCCTCCTGCCACCTCCACCCCCGTAAGCCTAATTTTACGCACAGCCTCCTCCTCCTCCTCCTCCTCCTCCTCTCCAGCTGCGGACAGGCCACCAAAAAAAAAAAAAACCCCAGAGACAAGGTGCTCTGTGGCGGCTTCCACCTTTGCTAAATCATTAGCACCATTTTCCTGACGGGTGTAAAAATGAGAACAGGCAGCTCTCTCACGCCAGAATCAAAGCAAATGAGCGCTTAACCTCGAGATCAAGCTGCGGTTTCCGAGTGAAATTGACCTTTTACGCGCAGGAAACAGAAGTTACAGTGAAGTCTGAGAGGCTGGGGGAACGGACTGGAGATCAGCATGTGCATCACAAATAGCTTTTAAGGGGGGACTGTGCAAAAAAACAAACAAAAAAAACAAGTCCTGCAAAGACTTCCAGTCAAATAAAGAAAGATTATTTTACGGAATTATCGTTTTCAGTGGCATTTGTGACTTTTCGGCTTCATTGAATGTATTTTTGCACAATTCTCTGATGCATCGAAAAGCTTCATGTGCATTACAATATAATTTAAGGACCTTGCAGCATGCATTGTTGACTCAATGAAAAGTTTAAGATGAACAAAATTAACTTTACGATGTTAGAAAAATCTCAACTATTTCTTTAGTGTCCCCGGTCCGGTTTCCATCATTTTCTCCAAGAAGCCGGTGACTCTGACGCCACTTTAAAAAAACAAAACAAAAACAAAAAAAAAAGTGCATTTAACGGCTGACAACAAAGCCAAAGACAAACAGAGAGGAAAGGGGAGCTCTTACCTGCGGGTCCGACATCCCCCATCACCCTGCAAGTATTTATGAGGAGGATAAACAAACAAACGTCCCGGGAAAAACAAGCGCTCCCCATGCTGACAGACGGTGTGAGGATTCAGCAGGGCTTTTCTGGGGGTTTGGACTGTGGGTGTGTGTGTGTGAGAGAGAGAGAGAGAGAGAGACAGAGTGTGTGTGTGTATGTATGTGTGTGTGTGTCTCTGATAGGAGAGGAGGTGGACTGGCAGAGAGAGAGAGAGGGAGAGAGAAAGGAGCCCTCTGATTGGCTTGTTTGTGCCGGTAGAGGGAAGAGAGAGAGAGAGAGAGAGAGAGAGAGAGAGAGAGAAGTGTTCAATGAAAGAGCCTCATGATGGAGATTCAGAGCTCAACTAAACTGAAAACTGTGAATCACCGAGATCTTATTTTTTATTAACATCGACTATATCAATATTTTCAATCTGACTCGGCCGATACTGACACATTTGCATACTTTACTGCGACTTCTTTAGACTCCCGACACCCTACAGTCTCTCCTCATGTGGGGAAAAAAAACACATTTTTATTCCCACAAACAAAAACACATTAAGACTGTGTTAACTTGGCTGAAGTGTAAAATGTGCAGCATTGGTTTTTACATTACATTGTTAAAAGGTGCACACCGCCACCTACTGGATGGAGGGGAGAAGTTCAGACTGGGTTGTGTGAGAATAACCAATCTGAAGTTTTGATTTTAGTAACTATAAATCTAAATTTGGAGCTTTGCAGCCAAAGCCATCGATGTGCCGGTATTGTCTTGGATCCCTGGAAGAAAAATGAATTAAATGAATTTTCAGTTTTATTTGCATTCCTTATTTCCAAACCATGTGATGCATGGCAGTGGCTCCTAGAGGATTGTAGGAGCTATTTATTTGTTGTTAGATTGTTATGTGATTTAATGATATGTGTATTGTTATAGGTGTTTTTTTTGTTATTCTACACGATTTCTTTATTTAGAAAATATTTTTGATAATATTTTCTTTTGCTAGTTAATTATTAGCAAATGTAGTTTTCCATGGTGAGTATTTTTATTTATTTTTATTTTTATTTTTACACTGTGGGCACCTGAGGTCATATAGGCAAGAGGAAGGTAGAGGACCAACATGCACCTGGGGGGGGGGGGGGGGGGGCGGTAGGAGTCGTGATTTTTCTTCTTTTGTTGTCTTGCTTTCTTTTGAAGAATTAAACCGGAAGAAACGCAGATCTTTTGCGTGGACATTGGACTTCTTTTACCTGTGCGCCACATCCCCACGATGCATCAGTGGACATTTGATTAAGTTTGATAAGTTTATTTTGATTTCTTCAGACAAATAGCCAGTACGATGATTATAAATGGGCCACCAGATTGTTAAAAAGGTACAAACTGAAATTAAGTCACAGTTAAATGGTTCATTTTTCTAGCTTAAAAAAGTAAAACTTGTCTTTTCCACAAATATTCCGTCATGAGGGGGTCACAATAACAATGTGAATTTTGAATGTAAAAAAAAGCCGAACGAACGAAAATGACGTTTCTCCTAATTGACAGTTTTCTTGAGTTATTATTGACTGTTAATCATTATTTACAGTCTATGGTCAGGACAGGCTGTACCAGTTTAATAAGGGTTTAAGGACGAAGAAATACTGCCACCTTGTGGTTTCACTGTAAAGGTTACTTTGCAGTTTGAGAAAAAGTAAATCTTTGTCTGTCAGTGCAAGACAAAAAAAACAACTAAGTCACTTCAGGAGTTTTATTTATTGCTTTTTAATAAAACTGTTAAAATATTTTTTTCTAAAGTAATGTTTAGTAGTTTTGGAAAACAAAACAAAATATATTATTAAAGTTATAATAATATAAATATAGACTAGCCTACTACTGTCTCTAGGTCCGAGTTGTTTTTTGGCTACTTACACATCAAAATAAAAGATTTACTCTCAACAGCAGGGATCCATTTCTCTTCATTTTTGCCTCTATTTTCCAGTTCAATATATCTCAATATATTCTTTACATGTGGCCAATATTCGTGAATCATGCTGAAGTATCTTTAATATCTGAGGAGGCCCTACCTTTTGCACACAAATATTCTTTTTTACTTTTTGGGACTTCAGCGGCTCTGTAAATATATTAATAATAAAAAAAATAAAAAACACACAACCTCATTAATATTCAGCCTACTGATACAACGCACCAGGGCCAAAAAGGAGCCAAATGCAAATAACATCTTACTATAGCTACAGTTTTCATGCATTGCATTGTTTATTTATATCAACATGAGATTGTTGGGCGTTTTTAGTTTCACATGCAGCCTTGGCGAACAAGAGAAACAGCGCCCTCTGCCGGAGACATTGTGCCATGACAATGTTAGCCCCACCACGCCCACTTCAGTACATTCTGATTTATATCCAATCACAGAGAGGAGTCAGGGTGATGCCTTCAAGACTCAATGAATGTTGGTTTTGACAGTGTCATCTTAGTTACTTGCTATTACACTCACCAGGTGCCACTTGTTCGCCTTCGTTTAATATTCAAAATAGTACAAAGATGACCATGGCTACTGTGTGTGTTTATACGAGTTGTTTTGATGGTATTGGGGGAACTACTGCTAGCCTCCAGAAGCTTAACTCGCTTTATAGATGAAATAAAACACGAGTATATTACATTTTTCACACTTCGCAGCTTAAATGTCTTGAAAGAGTGGCAACAATTTATTCTGACAAGATAAATCTGCATATAAATGCAGACAACGACATGGGAAAAGAAGAAGAAGAATGGAAAACGTACGGTAACGGTAGAGTTGGCGTAAATTACGTGGTGTACATGAACGCAGCACAAGACCTCCCCAACTGTCATGGCGTCTCCCTTGAAGGGGGATTGGTACTGGAGAAACTAGCCGCTGTCATCTATCAGTTTTCTGCCCGCAAACAGAGCATTTCATCCGGATTGAAGCGGCTTTGAGGAGCGGGTAGTTGCCATGGGGACTGTCCATGCTAAGGTAACTCGATTTTCTCCCCACGCACCTGTCCTTTTTCTGCGGATTATTGACCATGACCTCCCTGTTGAAAACGTCAGTCAGTGCTGCAGACTCACCAGCGCCTGTACTCGATGTACACTTACACAAAGAGAGAGAGAGAGACGATAAATAAAGAAAAGCGAAGGTGGAAATGAAGTTTAAAGTGGAAAAATGTAGCCTGATAAAGTATGTTAGCCTGCTTTCCGTTTAATTACAAGAAGCATTTCAGTCAGGGCGGCATTTTCAAAATTCAGACACAGGCACATTTTTGTCTGCATGCCTCGATATCCTCAAGTTGGGGACATTTTAGTGAACATTTGGCTTTTTTGTTAGGGTATTTAAAAAGCCACTTTGAGGACAAAAACGGTGTCCTTTCACCATTTATCATTTTATATCAGAACTTTAAGTACTGTGATAAGAAAGACCACACGACCCCTCTCGAGTGACTCACCGTGTAACGTGAAGTGACTTTCACTGGTCGTAGGACATTAGACACTCCCATCCATTAACTGTCCTGCCCCTTTCTCTTCCATGAGTGCGGCTCCTGCCCTTTAAATGTGCTAATCGTATTTTTTTATTACTATTATTATTATTATGCTCGTTGTCTAGGAGTTGTTAGGTGTTATCTAATCATACCTCTACGGTGGCCCTGAGGGGTCAATGCATACAGGGCATTTCAAGAAAACAAAATCAAATGAAGAAAACATCTCCATCAATTTGGCAACATTTAGAAAAGGGGGGGGGTGCAAATTAGGCCTCCATGATATGAAGTGAAATAAATAATAACATAGAGAGCTTTTTAGTTAACATACAGTTTAAATGTGTCTCTACAGTTTTTATGTAAAAAGCTTATTTTTTTCCCTTCACACTAAACTGGCACCAGTTAACCTCAGGGTAGTTGATAGCTAACTTGAAATGGTGTGAAATCATGAATTAACAGTTTTGTTCTTATCACCCGCGCAGAGTCTGGATCCTCTCCCGATGCATGGCCGGGATTTGGGAGTTAACCCGGATGACTTGATGGAGACTCCGGACCTGGAGCAGGAGAGCAAGCAGGAGATCCTAGAAAACAAAGATGTGAGTGCTCAAAGCGGCGGAAGAGAATCGTGAACAAGTTCAAGACGGTCGGTGTAAAATAACAGGTTTCACGTTTGACAAATTTGACCTGAAGTTCGATTTGCTTTTGTGGAACTATTTCTCCTCACCAGTGGTTCTCAAAGGGGGGGTCCGCTGACCTCCAGGGGCCCTTGGGAGTTTCCAGGGATCCCACGTTTCACTTTAATTTAATCAATGAGTTACAAAATGTCAGACTGTGACCATTTTGGTTTGCAAGTTTCACATTCTGAAATAAAATATCTAAAAGAAATAATCTCATAAGGTTCTGAACCTGGGGGAAAAAAATCATACAAATATGGATCTATGGTCTAAAATATTTGATAGTAAACTGTAGCCCCGTCCAGACTGCCGTTTCAAGAAGTCATATTTACGCCCCTGTAACGTTTCGCCTTCAATCTGGATGTCGAGGAGCTGTAACGGGGGGGAAGAAGTCTGAGTGTGTGTGTATGCGGAGCTCCCGCTGTGCCGCGCTTCTGCAACTCAAAACCGGAGATGTGAAAGTAAAACTTGTCATATATCTTTTTTTCCTCAGGTGGTCGTCCAGCACGTCAACATCCAGGGTCTTGGGAGAACTAAAGAGGACCTGCTGGGCTACGAGATCTCGGATGTTTTTCATGCCAAAAACCTGATCGATGTACGTATTTCAGACTGCACCGCTCATGAAGGCGTCACAGTCATCTCTCTTGAGTTTTATTTTTGTTTAAAGTAAAGAAGACGAGGGTTCCTAAGTGTAGAGTTCTGTTTCATTGTCATGGTCACAGGTGATGAAGAAAGCTCACGTGGCCAGACAGAAGCTGCTCCGCCTCGGGATCTTCAAGGATGTGGAGGTTCTTATTGACACGTCTGAAGGTAACACGTTCAGAGAAGAAGCACAACACGATATAATCACTCTATTTTTTACTAAAACCAAAAGTTATCTCAGAGAGTGTTGTGGATTACAGACCTGCTCTGGAGCTCGATTTGTAATTACATCATGCGTTCAGCGGTGCTTTGCTGTTAACTGTGACCACATGCAGCTTTTAATGTGAATTAAAGGAGCAACCA